ATATCCCCATTAACTACTTATGTAACTGTTGAACTCCTTTCAACAACTCTCTCCATTAATGAGAAAATGTGTTATCAGAAAATCTACTAGATAGTCTTATTTGATTAGGAAAGTCTTTTAAAATTTATAAATCTGCAAAGCTTGAAATTTAGAAGTTTCAAAACTTTTCAGTCTTTTCCAATTCTGAGAGGCTAAAGAGTATGACTACCAGGCAGTGTTTTCAGGTTAGGATCATCAGAATTTTAGCCTGCTTAATTTGTTTTTACTGTACATACAAACATCTTGAGATGAAAAAGAGTTTCTGAATTGAAACCATTTTTCTGCAAAGTTTGTTCCCAGCCAAAAGTAATTTTTTTCAAAAGCAATTTGGATTTCAATGAATTGCCTTTCTCCCATTTTTTAAGGAACGCACTACAAATGGAAGAAGAAAACCAGACTTACAACTTTTCGCCTCCACATCCCTTTCTGTTGGGGGTGGGGTGGGTCTCATGGAGCAGAGTTCAGCGTTACTTCAGAGAGAGCTGCTGATTCGTGCCGAGGCTGCTCCTCCAGGTGGAGGGGTTATTGATGGATGTGCGAAGGGCTGGAGCCCTCCTGCTTCCACAGTCTCACCTTTGGAGGTGCTGTGTTTGGGAGGCTCCGCTGGGTGCGCCAAGCCGGGTGCGGTGGGATGTGCCGCTGTGTTTCCTCCTCTGTGCCTTGGGTACAGAGCAGCAGAGCAAAGGCACGGTGCCCGAGGAGTAGATTTTCCTCTCCCTGTAGGCTATAGCTGAATGTCTTAAGGTTTGGTTGGTTTATGTGAAGCCATATCTCTCTATCGAGAAAACGTTCGCTGGAGTATCTGCTGACAAGTGCCAGCTTTTAAATGGTCTCTCACACTGTAGTTAGAGAACATTAAATAGGGATGGAACAAAATAATCAATCAAGAAACAAGATGCTGCTTCTGGTCTAGATGGGAATCTTGTCTGCCAAGAAAGCAGAAGAGTGTTTTTTAAATCAGGCTCAGTCTAGATGCACAGCCTGGAAGAACAGCATCAAAACGTCATGTTTATCATCGTCTGGCTGTTGGCCATGTTGGCAGAGAGGGTTGGGAGCGATGGTCGGGAGGCCTGTTTGGGTTTTTGTAAAGCTTAATTGGTTACATGGTATTAGAGAGACAGCATGGGCTTCAGAATTGGAGGGTGGGATTGCATTAGTTGAGTGGAAAGTTCGTTTTGGTCTGTGTGGGTGCTTGCAGGTTGACTGAGCCCTGCGGGACAGAGAGCGGGGGAGACCTTGGTTGTGGCTGCTCTGACTGCAGGTGGTCTGTGGTGGAGACACAGTCACGGCAAAATGAGTCATGGTATTACAACTTCAAGTCCATTTAGATGCTCTCAGAATGGTGAGGACTTGAAAGTTAAGGTTCCAGGCACAGGGGTGTTTTTCAAATGTCGTCATGGAAAATGGTGAATTGAGTTGCTTTGTTTTAGCAATGTAAGGCTTTTGTGTTACAGCCCAGGGGTGTTTCTTTTCAGTAGCTCAATATATTGAGCCATTTAAAATTAGAGTTGAATAAAGTATATTTTTCATTAAAATGCCTTGTTAATAACCTCTTAATAGAAAATTCTGAAGTGTTTTTCAGATCTTTGCTAGAAGAAATTCTCTTGAAATAAAGTCTCTTTTCTTTAAGAACCCCAGACCTCCTCCGCTGAAGAACCTTGCTTTGTTTCAGATATGGTGTATGATTTTTATACTTCAGTTATATGTACTGTTTAAGTTAAAATTTGTCATGAAACAAAAGAAAACATTCAGAATTTTCAAATCCAGTTAATTATAGACATGTTTAAAAGCACGCTTAGATGTTTATCTAGTAGTAATTATTAGTAATCAGTAGTAATTTTAACTCTTTCATTCTAAATGAAATTAAAATCTTAATGCTCAAATTTCCTGTGGAACAAGAACTTAGTTTGCTGTACCCACAGCGTTTTGGAAGTGGTAAAACAGTAATGGCAGTGTGATGGCAGTGGATCAGTCTGGGCTGTGGAGCTCTCCCTGCACCCAGGTTTTTGTGAAGCTTGCTCCTCCCGTCTCCATCACATAGCTGGTCAAGGAGAAGAAAACTCTTTGGTGGCTTCAGGTTAAAATCTGAAGGAATAAAACGCCTATGTCCAACCAATTGCTATTCTACTTTCCTAGGCGGTACAGGGAATGAGGAGAGCGAAGTCAGAGTAACCTTGCCAAAAGACACCGGTTCCCAGGCTGCCTCCCTGCCCTGGTGGCAGGGTGACCGCCTTGGCTAGCGCCGGGCTGGGAGAGGCTGCAGTGCCTGTGCAGCCCCTGGTGCAAACGGGCAGGAATTTCTGGAAAAGCAGCCAGTGCTGGGAATAGGAGTGCCAGCTGCCTTCTCGTGACGGATTTACAAAAATACGTTTTTAATCATCCTAGTCTGATGAATATTTTGCTCAATGTTTACAGGTCTGGTAATTCTGAATATTCTGCTTTGCACATTTGTGTAGCAAGGAGATGCTAAACTTCATCTCCCAGAGAACATGCATATTTGGGAGTAGTGTCTAATCCCAAGTTAATACTTTGTATTACCAGTCAAGCATCTGGGGGAGAATCATCTCCCAAGATATCTTTCTTTTTCTGATTTATTGAATGAAATGCCTAAAGAACAGTTATTGCATTGCTCAGAAATACTTTGATTTTGATAATCCTCAAACTTCGGGGGAGAAATTACTCTTTCTCAGTGGAGCCTTGTGGTAAAGTTGGGATATTCTGGAAAGGATTAAAGGCCTTGAATTAATTTCTGTGAAGTTGCTGTGTTGGTGCTCTGGCCTTCCCAGCCCAGCGCAGACCAAAGGCAGTGCAAGGCAGAGCAGCGCTGTCAGATCAGGTCTTTTTCTCTAGGTTTGTTAAACCTTTATCATCAGAAGATGAATTTCTCAAAAGCTTGTCCCACCTCTCTGGGTGGCTCCGTATCTGTCAAAGGTATAAATCTCGTACAATGAAACTGCTCAGTACACAGCCAGCTTTCTTATCTTTAAAGCTGTTGAAATGCAGGATAATCAAAACGGGCTTAGTTCGCTATTTTAGTCAAAGCAGGTCAGTACTTGCTAATTTAAATGCTCAGAAAGGTAGGTTTTATTCTGATGGAAATTAAGGTCTTGTACTGAAACAAGCAGTAGTTTTTATGAATGGGACATGGCCCAGGGTCTCCTGCTCTGATACCACAGTAATTAGTCTCAGCATAGAGATTCGAATGGAATGGCTGTTCATCTGTGCTAAGGATTAACAAGATGTTGGAAAAAAGAGAAGGCTTAAATAATGTTGAGTACAAGGTAAGAGAGGACGTAAACTAGGTGATGTTTCTTATGATTCCAGTTTTCTCATCATCAGGGCATTTCATACATGTGAATAAGTACTTTGTAGGTCTATTTCTTACATAGGTTCCCTTTCCTTCTCCTGTAGAGCTTCATAGCGAATACTAACAAAGTAAATACAGTAATGGGAGCTTTAGGTTTAGGGTAATACAACACTCCCCTTGAACTTGAAATAATAAAAAACCTGCTGGGGAAGCAGTCTGGTTGGAGAAAGGGTGCTCCTCCTCTGGCTGAAGGCTTGGCCAGGCTGGGAAGTAATTTTATGAAGGTGCTCTGCTCAAGCTGGGTGTCCATGGCGTGGTTCTTGCAGGAGGTTGTGCTGGCAGACGGTGTGCCCTGCTTCAGATGGAGGATGAACGTTCCTGTTGGCGGGAGCCCAGGTGACCCTGAACACAGGCACTCGGTTGCATTGGCCAACCGGGAACAGACCAAGGTAGAAGAAAATGCTGAAAAGCTGTCCCTCCTTTGTATCTGGCTTTCCTGCCCAAATACATTGTGTCACTTGACTCAGCAGATTGGGAGAAGCCAGGAACTGTTGTGCGGGGCCATGAAAACCGCACAGAAATAATTTCTGTGGCGTGCACTTTGCTCTGGGAGCTCTGCCTGGGCTGTGAGGCAGCCTGGGCAAATAGGGTAAATATTTTCTTCTTTCTGCAAATTTGTGTTGCTTTCTGATGTGTATATTTGTTTTAAAAGTGCTTAATGAGGTAGGCTTTGCTGCTCTTGTTCACTGCTACCTAGAGAAAAGAGCCTTCAACTGTTGTTGAGGGGTGTAAGCTGTCTGTGGCTCTCTCCAGACGTTGGCCACTCTCAGGTGGCTCCCTGGGCTGCGGGAGATGCCCCCGCTTGCCTTCACAGCAGCAGCTTAACCGAGGCACGGAGCTGAACCCAGGCGGTGGGCTTGCCATCTGCTTTTCTTTCTTCTTCACTCCAATTAATATCTGCAGCGTTTGATGAGGGGGTGGTTTTGGTTGTGTGCTTCGCAGAACAAGGCAGCTGTGGGTTCATCTGGTTATACTAGAGTAAACTAGAGCATTTGAGCTCTCTCCTTTTATTAACAGTGGTCCTGGGAGAATTGCTTACTCTGCTTTTTTTTAAATTTGTTCTCTTGGGGGGGGGAATATTTCTTTCTGGATAAAAATACATAGCCCTGATAATGTCATGTAATGCTGGTTAGAGCTTGAGCCCTGGAATGGTCCTTGCCATGTCTGAGTTTCCTTTTCACGCCTGTTTCTGCACTACCCTTTTTCTTCAAACTCATAATAAAATACTTTGAGCAGAAGGATTTAGCCCTAGGTTTCATACCTATGTTCATTATAGGTCTTATTATTATCCTCAGAACAAAAATAATCTTTTTGTCCCAAACTCTATCATTCTAAGCTTCAATTTTATTTATTTAGAAAATAGAAAGTGTAAGTTGTATTATCTCCTGGCACCTGAACTGAAATTAAGAGTTTCAATGCTGCTTTGCATTAGCGTTTTTCAAAATACACAAACATAACTTTCAACCCTGAGCACAGGCAGTAGCATTTCAATGAACAAAAATAGAAATGAGGCAAAAACAAACAGGAAGGGGGTTTTGTTATCATTAAATCAATTTTTTTCTCCTCTTTACGTAGGTTCCTAAAAATTAGCACTATGACTGATGGAGACTATGATTATCTGATCAAACTCCTGGCCCTTGGAGACTCTGGGGTTGGAAAAACAACATTCCTGTACAGATACACCGATAACAAATTTAATCCAAAATTCATCACAACAGTAGGAATAGATTTTCGGGAAAAACGAGTGGTAAGTTGTCTCATACGAATGATACCACCTTCTTTTTTCTTTATTCATTTCTGCTGAGAACAAATTTGATGTAATGTGTACTGCCTCTCTTACTGTGGGGTATAGCACATATGTTGATAATGCTTTTCCTGGTCTAGTTTTTGGCTTAAGCAAGTCATAATTAGGAACTGCATAAAGGGGAAAGATGCCATTATCCTGATCCTGGTGTTGGATTGTAAAGTGCTGTATTGCACATTGATATAAAAGGATCTTTCCAAGAGCAGGTTTCCATAGTGCTAGTGAATGAGGTGTGTTTATGACTAGAAATAACTCTGGCCCCCAAACTCATAATTTAAATGGAAAAGATGGAAACTTACAGAAGCACAGAAGTTTCAGCTTACTTCCAGGTCACACAGTAAACTAGCGAAGGCCAAGAAGCGGTTCCACCGGCTGGACCACGCTGCTCCTCGTGAGTCGTTGCCAGCAGCCAAGGCTGGAGGCTGAGCGTACTGAGCCTGTGATCAGGAGTCCTCGTAGGTTAGGATCAATGTGTTTCTTTATGCAAGGTGTGCGAGCCTGCTCTGCCATGCTTTTGTTTCTTGATGTTAAATAGAAGATGAGTCTTCTGTAGTGTCATTCAGATGCTTGGATATAAGAGCACACTCGCTTTGTTTTAATTTAATGTGACTTATGTCCCTGCTTATAGATCCTGACAACTGATACAGGCTACATATAGGGGACAAATTCAGCTTTCTAATAGGAGTCCTTCTAGCTTGCTTGAACAGTAAAACCATAATAAATACAAGATATTAGACCCTGAGCAATTATTTTAGTCATTTCCTTAATAAAAAGAAATGTAAATAGTTGCCCAGTTGAAAGATGGAGACCTCTTTAAATTTGATTCTTTTTAACTTAATGTTTTAATCTCCTATTACTTCACTAGAATACCATGAAAAGATGGGCATCACTCCCCCATTCACATTAATCTTCCCTGGTAACTTTTTCGTGACTGCCACTATTTGTGGCTGCTGTGCCGAGTTCAGTTTTGTCATGATGACAGGGGCGTGCAGGCTCTGCCTGGAGGATGGGGCTTCAGGGGTACCCTGAATAAAAGAACCGGGGATCTGGATTCTGTCTTAAGTTTCTCATCATCAGGGCTACGCAAGTTCAGGCCGGTTAAACGTGATGCTAAGGTGGGAGTGGAGCCTGGCTCTTTCTCTGCACTGTGGGATTGCACTGATGTAATAAGAGTAAACTATTAAAAACACAGTTTTATTGCAAGGAAATGCCTGAACATGCTCCCTGGCTGGTCAGACGCACATTAACGTGTTTTGAACATGGGTGCTGGATTCTTTCCAGAAGGTGAACTTTTCTGCTAAAGGTTGCAGACAGATTTCTTCCGTAACTTTCCATTACATTTTGGGGTAAGACAGTTTCTAAGTGTGGGAGAAGCTACATCTTACATGAAATTACCAGCTTTGAAATATCTTGAAGGTCTATCTAATAAACTGTCTTCTAAGAAAGAGATCCAAAAGGTGAAATATGTTTTTCTGTTGTGTAAAAGTCAAATTAAAAAATGACCCTGCGAGATTCCTTGCTTATCATGCTAAATGTTACAGGAACATGCTCCAGCAAACCAATTTAATTCACAAACGTGGGGTGGTTGATCCGTTGATTCTTTTCTGGTTTTCAGATCAGGCACCTGCCACACAGGAAAGAAAGGCACATTGCAGTCAGAAGCTACGTGTTGAGATGACAACAGTTTAGATAAGTCCACAGAATCACAGAATAGTCTAGGCTGGAATGGACCTCCAGAGGTCATCTAATCCAACCCCCAATTAATATTAACTTGGTTGTGCAGGAGAACTGAACACTGTATTTTACAGCCCAGGGAGGAAGTGTTCCGCTTCCCTGGGTAAGGTCAGTGCAGTCTCTTGATACAGACATGTCCATAAAGTCCATATTCTGTTTAATAAAGAATTGAGCCCCAGCGAAAGGTCACGATGATTTCTTTAAGCACTATGAGTTTGCAGTTGCAGTTAGTAAGGAAGTCATTAATGTCCAACAGAAGTTAATGAAGAAAAAATAGCTTTTTATAATAGTGGTTAATCCTGTCAGCCAGCTGTAAATTTTGTAAGAACAGCAATGAGACAGAACACAGACAGCTTGCTCAGCACAGTGCTATGCCAAGTTTTAAAGAATTGGTATCTAATTTGAAGTACTAAATATAACCAGATTATCTTTAAAGTGCAGCTTTCATAGACTTTTCATGTCGCTCCTGGCTTTTTAAATATTATTATAAGCCGCCCTCTGAAATGGCTTTTAGAGGTAAAAGTCAGCTGTTACAGAAGGACTGAACTTCTACTCCTTAGTTATTGCTTGCACAAAATATAGCAGTCTGTGACCCATGCAATGGATTTCAGTGTGAGCTGTACTGATTTGACTCTCTTGTTAGGTATACAACAGCAGAGGACCAAATGGATCTCCAGGAAAAGCCTTCAAGGTACATCTCCAGCTTTGGGACACAGCCGGACAGGAAAGGTAACAGAGTTCCGCTCACTGGAAAGCAGTTCTGAGTTTTTCATATTTCTGGGTAAACCATTAGTCCATTCAGGTGAAAAATATCAGAAATCCTCGTATTTTAGGACAAGAAAAATATCTTCCAGAAATAACGGTTTTCTGACACTGCTTTGATACAGTGATCAGAGGATCTCAGAAAATAGGACTGGAAGAACTGAAGATGGTCTGCTCCCTGCCTCGGCAGCATGCTGCCTCGTTTCTGGCACGTGTGCGATACTGGTTTGTTGGTTAGCTTTTTTTGTTTGTTTTGTACTGTTATTTTGACTTCATAATACATTCCTAATCTCCTCTGGAAGATACTGTATAACCTATCTAAGTGTCTTGTTCTTGTATTTCACATTTTTTCTGTTAGGCTGGATGGTAAGGCATATTTTGATGAAGGTGCACAGCATACAGGACTGCATTGGCACACATGTAGCCATCAGACTGAGGGAAGTGGTTATTCCCCTTCATGCAGCACTTCTGAGGCCACATCTGGAGTACTGCTTCCATTCTTGGGACCCCCAGTGTGGGATACTTTGTACTGATAAACTGAAGTCCCGTGGAGTGCCATTAGAACAGGTCAGGAGGCAGAGGCATACGATGATCCGGTGAGCGCTGAGGGGGCTAAGCTTGTTCAGCCTGCAGACGGGAAGACTAAGGGGAGGCTAATTGCTGTCTTTATCTACCTAGTGGGGAGAAGACAGAGCCAGACTCTTCTCAGGCTCACAGCTAAAGGGCAAGAGGCAGCGGTCAAGGATATTCCAGCAGCAAGGATATTCCAGCTAAGTAGAGGAACACAAGTGTTGACCGTGGGAGTGGTTAAGCCCTGGAGCAGGTTGCTCTCGGAGGCTCTGCAGTCTGTGTTCTCGCAGGTGTTCACAACTCAGGTGGACAAGGTCCTGAGCAGCCTGATGCCTTCCTTAAGTCCTCTCCAGTTTACGTGCCCCGGGCTTGCTCAGACTTCTCTATGATGAGCAAGCTTTCTGTTCTTTACTGCCCCAGGCTGGTTCCAGCCTCTCTCAGCACCAGCATGCAAGTGGGATGGAGAATTCTAGTTCAAGTCTTACCAGTGCTGAGTAGTACAGAAGAATTGCTTTTTATCTGACTTTTATGGTTTTGGTTCTGTTTGCCTTCTTTGCAGCAGCATACTGTGGTTGACATGTATTAAGTTCGTGACTGACCAGAATCCTCCTTTGCAGAAGGATTCCTTTATCTAACCAGTTGTTCCCCATCTTCTCTGTGCACACTTGTTTGTTCTTTCCAAAGACCTTCTTGATTTGTGACTATTAAATTTGATCCTGTTATTTTTTTTTAAAGGGAGAAGTGTGCATACTGCTTTCTTAAGCTTCCCCTGGCTAGTCACGTACGCTGGTTTTCACTATCATAAAGCGTGTGAGGTTGCCCTCAGTATGACTACTGATGTCACCTGTCAACAAGGGAAGAAAATGCGACTCACACCTATTTGCTGTGTAATAGTTACTGAAAAGCAGCGGACTGAAGCGTTTGCCCAGTGGGGAGGAAGGAAAGTCGTGATGAGGCAGATTTCAGGTTTTCAGAGTGAGCAGTGCAAGTACCATGGGGGAGGGGTTGCTGCTGGATGAAAAACCAGAAACAAGCTGAAATTTTGTGTCTGCATCTCTTTACCTTACTCTCAAACGCTGTTTGTGTATACACCTCTGCAAGAGATTAAACATTTTGAGACTACATTTTTTTTTCCTGAAAAACCCTAAAAGTAGTGTCAGGTATCTGACACGTTTCTGTGGAGAGCTTTTGTTTTCATTTTCATGGATGTGTGTTGTAAAATACCAGTTACTGTTTCTGGTACTGCTGGTTTGTGCAAGATTATAGAGTGCTGTTTTGTGATGCAGAAAACACCAGAGAGCCAGTGCACAGTTTTCCAGCACTGTTTCTTCAAGTTTCCGATTTGAACAGGCCTATGACCTTTTGGTGACAAACAGAGTTGTATTTCATGGTTTGTTGTTTCATCCGGCTCCGTAGCTTTGCAGGAAGCCTGTGAACCATGTCCCTTGTGAACGCACACTTACGCAGGTCTGCTTACAGAGTGCATGTGTGTCTAGAGCTCTGCAAGGAAAGGTTACCTTTTCCTTTTAGCTGAGCTTCACAGCAGATAGCCACATCGAACAATCAAAAGCATGTAAACAGCCCCCTACTTTTCCTTTGTTTTCTTTAATATTGACTATATTGAGTAGTGCACATCCATCGACTTAAGTGTGTGTAATCTCGGCAGGTGAATCCATTTCTGTCACTGTGATCTGTGATACACTAAATGCTTCAGCATCTTTTTTTCTTTTAACCAACCCTTCTCTCTCTGTCTCACTCTCGGTTAAATCAGGCAGAATTTGAACTAATAGATTAGTCACTGATAATGTTTATATTCTCACATATAAGCTTCCTCTGGTAAATTACTAACACACTGACACTAACAACATTAATAAATGTTGACTGGTGTGATGCATCATAGCTAAAATGAAAGTCAAGAATTATTTTATTTATGTCCACTAAATCTTGCAGACTCTTCAGGTTTCAAGATACTTTTTAAATAGAATTTTTGCACAAGCAATTCAGAAAAGCTTTACTTCATCTCTTTTTCCTTTACTCAGTTCAGGCTTGCCAGAAAAGTGCTTACCTTAGAGGTCGCTTTATATTAATAGAGCTATGTTGTCTTTTTTCTTCCACCTTCAGATTTCGAAGTCTCACCACAGCGTTTTTCAGAGATGCTATGGGCTTTTTACTAATGTTTGATCTCACCAGTCAACAGAGCTTCTTAAATGTCAGAAATTGGATGAGTAAGTAGAACCATAGAGCTTGCATTTATCGGTTGACTTGAAGCTTTCTTGTGTATTTTAGGCTTTTAGGCTTTATGCTTGCCATTGTTCATGAGCTGGAAGACGCTCAAAGAAAGTAGTTATGTCTAGTGCAGCCTTAAGTGGGGTACTTGCAGCCTGTAATTTGGGGTAGAAGCTTCATCAAATTGGAGAGATACGTGCTCTTCTTTTTTTTGCACAATAGACTGTTCTGGGCATATTCTTGATAATCTTGTTTGGATTTGGTACAATTGGAATAAATCTGTTGCCTCTTGGAAATTGATGGCATTTGACACTTCCTTGGCCATAGCCCATATTTTAGATGATATACAGGATCTTGGAAACTGTACTTTGGATATCGCTGTTATCTTTATGGTGTGTTTTCTGCTTATAAAGCAGAATGTGATTCCTTCCTGTCTGCTTTGAGGCTTAAATTAAAATCAAGATTGGGCTTTGAGGATTTGGTTTGAAAGCGCGTTCTGTTTGCTGTTGTTGGTTTTCCTTCAGACAACGGCTAGACTAAAAGTGAAACAAAGGTTAAATTCTTAAAGTTTATTTTTAATTGAGGGCATTTAGAGTGCTGGAAGGACAGAGGCCAGTACATTTCGAGCTGGCAGTTTTCCAGCAAACAAGCTGAAGCGGGGATAACGTGAGAATCCAGATAGCCTTGTGAAAACAGCTCCATCTTCTTCAGAGATTCCTTCCTCCCACTAAACAATCCCTGTCCTCACAATCTTCCACTGCTTACCAAACTGAGTCTCTAATTTCTTCTGTGTATACTGCACTTTTTCAAGTCGGTCCCCTCAGGATTAAGGCAAGTATAAGTAAATGGCTTTGTACAATTACTTACGAGGGGTGAAGCTGTGGACAGTACTTGTGTCTGGATCTTCACACGGATAAAACTGCATTTAAACCATTGAGTATATCCAAGAGAAAAACACACTTGAGGATTTTGTCCTATACTTCTGAAGATCTGCATTTGCAGATGATGTGGGATGTTGTTTGTACTTCCACAATGTCCTTATGAGTCTTGTAGAATAGAAGTCTGGCTGGTGGAGGTTCTCCTCTGCCAAAGCACTGTGTTTAGTACACCTCATTGCAGTTAAGTTGTCTTGTATGTTGGTAAAATAAATACTGGAAATAATTTTCTAGTACCATTTCTACTTCCTATTTTGAAAAACTCCCCTTAGCAAGTAAATGTACGACAAGGAAATGTGTTTGGCATGAAGTGATTGGCTGGTTAGTCCAGGATATTTTGAGGTGGGGAGCAAGAAAGGTATTTTGAATTATTTTGTCAACAATCTTGGTCTCTAAGGCGCTTAACTTTCTCTTAACTCCTGTTTATTTTTGCTTCTAGGTCAGCTGCAAGCCAATGCATATTGTGAGAATCCAGATATAGTCTTAATTGGTAATAAAGCTGATTTATCAGACCAAAGGGAGGTAAACGAAAGGCAAGCAAAAGATCTGGCAGACAAATACGGGTAAGCAAATTATGACAGAAACTAAATTTAGTCTATAACTGTTGAAAGTGTAGCTGATGACTGGCTAGAGATACTTGCAAGTATACTTATAAACTCCAAGATTTGTAGGCATTGCAGTATCACATACACCTATAGCGATACCCAGCTTGTCACGCTTTCAGATCGACGTGTTTGGATAGGAAATAGATAGGATGAAACACACTGTTCTAGTAGTTTGGCCAAAATACTACAACGTAATAAATAAGGCTGAAATGAAACATCCTTACTAGAAAACTACATTCTTGGGATGCTGGCTTGTCCTGAGAGTTCAGGACAGAGTATACAAAAGGCAGGTGAACACTCAGTATCATGAACTAAATAATAACAATATTTGTAGTTTGCTTTTCTAGTTAGTTTGGAAGTGGAGACACCTGTGGATTTTGGTCAGGTTCTAGGTGTGCAGTGGCACTGAATTTATTTGTTTTCCCCTGATGGATGATAAAGCTGTTAATGGCCTTTTTCTCGTTCTAGTGAGCCTTCTACATTTCTTTGCACTAAAAACACCTGCAGAGTGTCCTGTAACTGGATAAATTGGCTGATAGTTAATATAGTTAATAAATAGTGCTGTGGGCAAAAAGAACCTGGGTTGGTTTTTTCCTTGGTTGCCTTACTGTACAATGAGGGATATTCAGAGAGAATTCAGCCAGCAGCAGAAGATGGCCTGAGAGACTGTGGGCAGTAATAAGCAAATTAGACTTAAAAATAATTAAAAAATATTAAAGAGTTGTCTGCAGCCAGGTAAGGATGACAGCGACACTGAGGAGAAGGTAGCTCATGCCAGATTTCATATGATGGAAGTGCTGGAGCAATTGCTAATCTTCTGTTCTGAAAAAGATGATTTGGAAGGCAATATTCTGGATTTAAAGGGGATTTCAGAATGGAAACAGCTAAGTTAAGTTGTGCTTATAAGTAGACAGGAGGGAGGGAGATAGTACTTGCCGGGACTGCTGAATAGCAATAGTTGTAGCTATCTGCCTAAAAAACCAGTTTCTGGTATGTTCTGTGGTCCCTGAAATTTTCTGTAAAGAAGACCTAGGCTTCTCTTTAAAATAGACTTTCTGGTTATCTGAAACACTTTTTCAACCAAGGTTTGTGCTGATGTTACCGCAATTTGAAGTCAAAATGCCAGGATGCATTTCGTAAATTAATGTGGCGGTTTTGTGCTCATGTAGTCATGCCACCACGTGCTAGGAACGGGAGTTTGGGTTCTGCCCAGCAAGGAAATAGAGTCCCAAAAAACCAGAAGTCTGTCCCATGCATTTCATTGCTACTAAACTCACCATTCATAGCTGCACTGAGAGTGTTACAAAGAGTTGAGTCTCGGTTGTCTTTAAAAGTCTCTCCAGCAAATCTTTTCCTTTCCACCGTAGCATACCGTACTTCGAAACAAGTGCTGCTACCGGACAGAACGTGGAGAAGGCTGTGGACACGCTTCTGGACTTGATAATGAAGCGTATGGAGCAGTGCGTGGACAAGACACAGGTCTCCGACACAGCCAACGGAGGAAGCTCGGGGAAGCTAGATTCAGCAAAACCGGAGGAGAAGAAGTGTGCCTGCTAAACGTCACCTCTAAACTGTGAGAACCAATGAAAATATTTCAACAGAATATGGCTGACCTACCACCAAATTCAAACCGGCTCTCTTGAGCCGTGCACGGAAGCAAAGTTACATTGTTTTATTGGGATTGTGCGTTTTTCTCCAAAGAACTGGTTTAAAACTAAAAGCTGTGTTTCAGTGAGGCTCTTGTGCTGAAATGATTCTTCCTGATACGGTGCCATCTTCATGGAAAACTCTCCCACCTCTTCTTCCCCACTCCTTTTCCCCTAGCCCACATTTTTCCTGTGATCAGGATACTGAATAGAGGAAAGTAGCTTTATTTTTTTAAAAAAGGAGGGAAAGAACCTATTGTCTGCATACACTGGATATTGAAATTAAAACGGAGGTGGGTGGTTTTCTAGGTCTGTGCCATTTTTCCACAGAATCCTGTTTCTTTATAATTTTTAATCTGCATCAGGGACCGTGTTCTAAGGCAGAGATACAAAAGATTTTATGTGGCCTATTAAGAAAAACTTTATCACTTGCACAGAGTAAGAAATGCTGTGAATCCTTCCTGACTGAATCACTGAGACGGTGGTTGGGGGGTGGGTTGTGTGTGTGTGTTTTGGGTTTGGGGGCAGGAAGTAGGGCATTTAATTAAAAAAAAAAAAAAAAAAAAAAAAAATTATCAGGGAATTGTGCAGCATTGCTTGTGTTGCCAATAATCCAAGCAGGGATTGGAGCGTTATAGGAAAAAGTATGGAGAGGGATTCTGATGCTGCAGGGACAGTTTATAAAGAAGAGAGTATAATGTATGGGAACAGAGATAAACTATATTTTATGAAACAATTTCTTACCATAAGCAAAAAATATTCTCCCCCCAACTTAAGAAAACTATCCTTTTTCTTCTTTTTCTCTGGGTAACTGTGTATCGCGGGTAGGACATAGGAAAGAACTTGGGGCTGTTTGCACTGCCTAGAAGAGAACTGTAAACTCTGCTGTGCTGAGAGAGCCTCTAAGTTGTTGCTACAGCTTTGTTGGGTCCTCTGTACACTTAGGTTTTCAACAGAGGGCAGCTTTTTCATACTCTTAAATTCTCTTCAAGAGGGCAAAGTGGAAAAAATGTGATGTGGGGACTTGGAATGATGGGAGTCCAGAGTATGTGACTGACTAGATTCAAGTGTGTGGCAGAAGCTTGCAGGTATCTCAGCGCAGAGGGTAGAAGTTGCTCTGTTGGTGTGCTGCAGCATCAGGGTGCAATGCAAAAGATTTCTTAGATGGGTGAAAGCAAGTTCTAGTGAAACAGCAAGTTGCTTACCACAAACAAAGACAAATACAGGAAAAAATGAAGAAAAATACTATATTTATAATTATAGATCATTTTCTAAACCAAGTTACAGCATATTTATTAGTCTACCCTGTCCTTTTTTGTAGAATAATTGTTCTGGTTTTATACAGGTGGTAGTTAAAGGTCTATTTGTGTTTATTGCGCTTTAAGCTACTTTCACATCACTTGGGAGGGTGCAGATTGGGGGGTAAAAATGGATCTCTACAAGCCAAGCTTAATTGGTTGGGTTGGCAGGATTGCAGACTTCCATTTATTTAAATGTTTTCAGCTTTGATTTATTCAAAATTGCAAACTTTGTGAATAGCAAGCTCCTAAAGTGTTTCAGTGCTTCCCAGAAATGGAGAATTTACCAGATTCACTGCTGAAAAAATAACAGGTTTTTCTGCCCAGCTCCTGAAACGATGTTTACTTGATGATTTGGCATGTTAACAGGGCAGATGGATGGTACATCCGTAGGAGCAGACCCATTGGGTGAGTAACCAAATAGCTGTGATTACCATGCCAGAAATCTAACTTGTAGACTGTAAAGATTATATAAGTGATAGACTATACCTACAGGCTATATATATGTATGCTATACAAACAGGTATAATGCAGGTCCTTTTATAGGCTATCAACAGTCCTAACACCTCAAGAGGTGGAAAAGCTGTTGTGGTAGTCAACAAGTGATTCCCCAGGCAGAAGATGTAAGTAGATTGATAGCAAGCAGGCTGATATTCAGATAGGTTCCTCAGTTACCTGAGATACATAGACTGGAAGTTCAGGGTTTTCTTTGAAGTGAAGTTGTATTGCTTTTTAATATGTAGCATAAAATGTAAACATAATTTTTAAAAAATTGTATTATGTCTTGAATTCCTGAAAATGGTGGCCTGAGGAGCTCCCTGTCTCGCTTTCAAAGAAATCTCTCGTTTTGTGGCATCAGATTTTTGTCTGTTGAACAGGAGTGAAAGAAGTAGCTAAGAATGGTAAATTACCAACAGCCAACCAAAGCGTGTTTCCCAGAGCAGCTGAAGTATAGCTTGTCTAAAAGCTGTTACAAAGCTGAAAGTGACTTCAGTAGCAGACAGATGATTCATACAAAGGTGTGTAAAATCCCAAACCTGGCGCTGTTTCAAAGCACCTTGATGAAGCTCAGTTGCTTCTATTTATCTCTCCACCTGCTGAAACTAGCACTCTTAGAATAATGATAATTAAAAAAAAGAAAAAAATACAGCAGTGATACCCAGAACAGTTTGGTCTGGAGGAAGGTTTCTCCTAACCTTGCCAGTGAGCTTCAGTGACTGTGAATTGTCAGAGCTGGCGGTCCGTAACGAGGGAGCTCCATTCCATAAGGATACAGTCTCTGAAACTCTCCAGCATGGACAGAGCAAGCACATAGCCAGCCCTCGCAGCCCAGTGTTGCTCGAGGGGTCTGTTTAGGAACGAAAGGGAATGACTGCAGTAAAAATTCCATTGCTTGGTTTATGTTTATATACTTGCTAATACAAGAAATTGATTATTATTCTGTGTTTAAAAAAAAAAAAAAAAAGAAATCTATGAATGCATGTGAAACTATTATCCCAAAAGGATTTTGCCATCAAAACTTTGTTTGGAGGAAAGGAAGAGAAGTTTAAACGTGTGGTAGGTGGTATAGCAGCTCTCAGTTATTAAACTAAGAAAAGAGGAACATGGTAAGTGATTCTAAATGCTACTAACAGCTTTGTTCTTTACCAGGTTAACTCTCTTTGCAAAAAAATAGATAATGAACTCTTACTAAAAATCACCTTTTGTCCCCTCTCCATCATCGTTTGACTCTTGCTCCATTTTTTTTTCTTCATAAACTATTCCTCTTACGTTTCACATGCCCACCAGCAGATTCACATTCTTATATGTCCACTTGGCGATGTCAGTCTGTCTTCCTGCAGCGTCACGGCTCTTGCGAACCCCCGCTGAGCAACTGCAGCCCTGCACAGATGACTCAGGGCCACTCCTTGCTGCTGTGGTAGGAACTGAAAGCGATAGCAGTGTTAAGGTTCACAAGTTCTGTGCAATATTCAGGAAATAATGGTAACTGCAGCAAAGAAAGAACACTCCGGGGGGCTACTTACAGTCTTACAGAGCCATGCCTGTATGGAAAGGAACTTTTCTATTCCACATGCTGGAAGACCCTCTCTCAGTTCTGTCCGGTACCCACTTTCTGGTTGAAGGGCTTTCCTTCACTTCTGTTGTAGCTCTGTAATGGATCCTCTTAGGTAGTTTTTCCAACTGCAGCATGGTGAGCTGGATCCACAGTGAGCCCCTGCTAGCTGCTTGTGACCTGCTGGCAAAGAGCTGGTGGGCCAGTGGGGCGGTCATCCGTCCGGTGGGTAGTGCCGTCCTGCCTACAGGCTGCTGTGATGCCAGTGAGGCGCAGCATCTTGGCACAGCACTTTACTAGTTCAAGCTCTTCTGACTACACTGTGAACTCCTGAATGTATCCCTTGCTGGAGCCACATAGCCTACCGTTTTCATCCTTTTCTCACTCCTGTTGCTCAAAGTGTTTCACTTTGCCATGTTCAGTCCTATAAATTCTTCCGGACACCGGCCTGGGAAATGAATTTGCTTTCACTTAACGCCTCTGGTAGGATATAGCCTCATCCCATTCCACTAAAACTTGAATCCAGATTCTGCTGTTGCAAATTTGATTATACATATTTGAATTGGAAGTTAAGCATTTGCTTTTGAGCACAAATACAGCTTATTTGCAAGATAGATATCCCGCATCAGGGCTGGAGAGGGAGAGAAGGTCCTATGATACTTCATCCAGGATGATACTAAAAATTAAATGTCAGTGCAGGTATTCTAACCCTGTGGGCTTTTGTCTTGACTTTCAGTCCAGGCACTGGTTTCTCAAAGTTGCTTTTTGTGTCCTTTTAGAAGTATCTTTTTTTAGTTTTCCAGTATCTCTTCAGTAAAGTGCTCTTGCTGCCGACTTTATTGTGCAGTGTGTGCGTGTGCAGTAATTTCTGAGCTGCATAGTGCTGTGCACTGAAAGAGGTGACGGTAATGCCGATCCTTCAGAGATGTGACTTGTGGGATCTTACACCGAGAGTAATTTTGGTTTCCTTTTTTCTCTGCATAGTTCCACCTTCCTCGTCTCTGGCTGCGATATTTACCAAGACAGTTCAAGTTACCCGACTTCTTGTTGAATCTGTTTCCTTGATCCTCTTGGCGTGTCCCAGTTAACTCACATTATACAGCGTAACAGCGTTACACTTCGTGTCTTGTCCTTAGAACTCACCGTAATCCATTCTTCTTCCTGATCTACAGGTATTTTTGTCCTCCCAGTTTTAAGCATGAGTATAAAAATGTGGCATTAAAAGATGTTAATACACTATGCTAGAGTAGTGCTGGAGCGCTGACCTACGGCTGCGGGCGCTACAGTGACGCCTTGGTCGCAGTTCCTTCTGTTCGCCTGCAGCCTTTGGCTTGGTCTGTCTTGGTGGAAGAAATGTGTCCCTTACCATTGGTAAATATTTGCATTGCCAAAGTGCAGTGCCAAAGTCTGGTGTTGCTGCTCTGTTTATGAACTGCCACATTTAGTGAATTCAGACCTTGGGGGTAATACTCGGAAGAGTGAGGAAACTTACAGTCAGTAGGCAATGTCTTTAGCTGGTGTTGCTGCTCTTACTCTGGCATCCTCTGCTGACTTTGCCCTCACCTTCCCCAGCCCCTCGCCTTGGAGAAGTAGTGCCAAGACCTTTTTTAGGAAGGCGAGAAAGGAAATGTGCTGTTGTCAAATGGGATTTTTTTTTTTTTTTTTAATGCATACATTGAAAGTACCTTTTCAGCTGTAGCGCTCACTCCTGCAGTGCATTTACACTGCCTGTGTTTACGTTACACCACTGTGGTGCCTCGGCCAGCCCTGCTATCAGGTGGGCAAGGGGAGATGGTGGCCAGTGCCAGGGCAGGCTCCTCTGGTGCTTTGCATCCTCGGGAATAAAACAAGTTACCTGCGGAGACAGGCGGAGGGGTGGGAGTACCTAGGGCTGGCTGGAAATTGCAGGATAGAAGTGGTACTAGAGGCAACACACTTTAGATAAGAGAAATGCCCTTAAGTGTTTGCAGTGTTTACCAGAGAGCCCAGTTTGAGAAGTTACTTAAGCTTGTGTGTAGGTGCTTGGCTGAATTGGGTCTGGAGTGTCTCTGTGAAGTAAGGAGCTATTGTCAGAGCAAAACAAGTACATCTAAAATTGTGTAAAATGAAAAAAACTGCCCAGAAGTACCTACTCCAGGAACATACAGATGTGAATGAGCTTTTTTTTATTATTTTATTTTAAATATTGTCCAGCCATGAAGAAAATTGTTCCATCAACTGAAAAAAGCCAGGAGAGTATTAATGACTATTCTTCAGTGCACGGTTTTTAGACGCTTAAGCAGATGCTCTCCAGAAGTCCTTACAGGGTGTGTTGCTGACATGTAGCAATGCCCGTTCAGAGCCATGGGAGGGTTAGAAACTGCTGGGGGCCAGGAGATTATACATACTTGGAAGTTAAGCATTTGCTTTTGAGCACAGATACAGCTTGTTTGCAAGACAGATATCTCGTATCAGAGCTGGAGAGGGAGAGAAGGTCCTATGATACTTTATCCTGGCACATCATGTATTTTAGGCTTCACAATCATTTAGGCTTCTGCTTTCATTTTATGAAATATTTTTGTCTGTGATCAGCTTGTAATGTGTGTGGGTTTTTTCCCTTGTTCTAATGACTCATTTCCAAATAAAAGCATTTGGCAAGGGAGTGACTCTCTGCTCAGCCAGGGGCCCTGCTCTGCCCTGGCAGGTACCAAACCACAGTTACCGCAGAGGGCTGCAGCTCTGGGCTGCCCTTGCAGAGCAGCACATCCTTGTTTCTCAGCCCCTGCCTGATGCAGTTTCCCCACTTCGCCATCTCCTCTTCCAGCCAGGGCACTGCAGCAGAGCCGGCTTGGAGCCCCGGCCGAGTCCTGAGCCTGGCATCCGGCTCAGCACCCACCTGCCCCTGTGAGAGGTAGTGGCACTAAAGAAAACCAGTAGCAGGGGCTTAAGTAACTCTTGTCTTTTCTATAGCCTTTGCCTTCTGTGACTTATTACAGACATTTGCAAGAGGAAAGGTATTTGCTTCTCTTAAAAGGGGG